GCTTCGTTTTGGATACATCACCACGTCGCCGCTGCACCATGTGCTGTGGGTGCCAGGGCATTGACTATTCAGGGGACCTGCGCAGTTATTTTTTAAATCGCATAGAAAATTACACTGCATTTGTATATTCAAGCGCTTGTGTGTTTGTATGAGCTGGCTGTGTGCGTGCGTGCATGGTTGCAGCCTTTAATTGCACAGTCATCTGGTTATTGCTCCGGGTCCCCTGCCGTTCAGCGCTGCGGTGATAGTGCCGAGCAAATGGATGCTTGGTGAATGTGCTTTTTCATTTTCACCTGTTTTATAGGTGCCTGCTTAGTTAGAAAAACCATTTAACCCTCTCATGGAAAAGAATTGCTCATGTATTTCACTTGTGCTGAACATACACAATAACAGACATCTCTTTGAGACAAGATGGTGCTCTGTAAAATGATGACACGGTAGAGTAAGCCCAAAATTATTCTACATGCTCAACTTGCAATTTGAAATGCCATCTCTGATTTTTTTTTTTCTCAGTGTTTTTATACAGCAGTGTTTACAGCTTGCATTATATTCAGTGGTGAATCTGAATGACTTTTGCCTTTGAAAGCTATAGACTGAACAGCTGGAGAAGTATAACTGGTGAAACGCTCAGTTCCAGTAACTTTGATGCTACTGCAGAGGAATTCCTAAATAAATACCTCCTGGAGGGGAGGGCTGTAACAGCTGTGAGGGCCTCTTTAGCTGCGAACTTTCTGGCTTCCGCTACAAACAGGGCAGGGTCTTACAGCCAGACAGCTTTCTTCCCTGTGCTGCTGCCAAGCTGATTTGGTTCTGAAGCACAGTGCATTGCTCTGAGTGATAGAGAAGGGAGGTGGAAGGGGTGTTGGGGAGGTGGTCCAAGCCAGGGTGTCACACCCAGGAGTAAGGGGGTCATGTTTGGGGCCAGGCCATTTTGACATTGCGAGGAGTTTTTATGATTTGCTTTTTGCAGCCTGAATATCCTTTTACCATATAATGTTCTAAAATTCTTCTCAGCTAAAACAAAGCTCGTATATGGATTCTCGCGTTCTAAGGAAGCTCTTTTTTTTCCCTTGCACTTCTGTTGTATGTGAACTTCTTCCCTCTGAGGGTGATGGAGCCCTGGCCCAGGCTGCCCAGGGAGGCTGTGGAGTCTCCTTCTCTGGAGATATTCCAGCCCCGCCTGGACGCGGTGCTGTGCCCCCTGCTCTGGGTGACCCTGCTTGGGCAGGGGGTTGGGCTGGGTGACCCACAGAGGGCCCTGCCAACCCCTGCCATGCTGGGATTCTGTGTGTTTTAGAGACTGAGTTTGGGCAAGCTGTTGTGTTTATACCAATATAGTGAAGTGCATACCTGATGCAGTTTGATGTTAGTCGAATTGTCATGTGTAGATGTGGCATTTTTTATCAGTGAAAGATTCAGTTTTGTGTGGAAAAACTTAACATTTTTCTTAACGCTTCTTTTGAAACAAGTAAGCTGGTGTTTCATAAATGGAAAAAAAAACAAACAACCCACCACCACAACCCAAACAAACCAACCCTATAGCAGGAGCCAGTGTGGATAGCTTCCAGTTGCAGTGTTTATAATCTACTGAATAGGCAGCCAACAATGGGAAGTATTAGGTGGTTATGGCTGGGTGTTCCACTGCCTCATCCAATAGAAGGAAGGAGCCCTCCTACCTGGTGGATTTATTTACTTCTGGTTTATTTTTCTAGTCTGCAAAGAAAGTAGAATATATTTCATGTTAAAGCTTTACATGACTTCCGCTGGCATCTACTGAATTACAGATTCTAGCTCACAGTTTTAAAATACTTGTTTCTTTCAGAGCAAACCAAAGAGCACACAGTTATGGTACTGAACAAGTGATGAGTCTTTCACAGGTAGGGTTCTCCAGAGTGAGAACGGTTTGTAGTAGCAGGCTTGGACCGACAGTATTGTTATTTGAAGCTCTTGACTACCAGAAAGTCTCGATGTAAACGTATCCTGCAGGATCCTTGATGTCTTACACGAGCACTCAGAAGTCTTCTGTATAGGTGGGAGTGTATATACATCTTCGCAGGGAGAGCTTTGGGTGACCAGAGAGTTGCAGCCAGTCATCATGTTCAGTAGCAGCTTCTTCTGCAGGGAATTATCTTCAATCTCATCAACCTGTATTAAAATCATGATCACAGTCTTTACCTATCTATTTATTTTTCTGTGTCCGAGTAGAGCTCCCTTGGGGACTGCAAACACTGATCATATGAGAAATAAATGTAATCAACAGGAACAGCTTTTTTTTTTTCCCTTGTCTTTAAATTGTTGCCCATGCTTTTGAGGTTTGCCTCCATCATTGCATCTCTTCTTCCCTAATGTGGATAGTGGTTTAGTACCCAGTTTCCAGAAGGGACTTCTCTACTGAAATTCAAAGTTTTCATCGGCTTGAAGTTCTGGGTTTGATTTAGTTTTTGTGCTGTTATAGGTTACTTCTTCATTATTTTCTTGTGTTTCCAACAGTTAAACTAGCTTAAGACAGCTGAAAAATAGTGAGTGCTATCTTAGTAACTCTTGCTTATGCCAGAACTTGTCCATGCATGTACTGTAATTCCTCCATACGTGTTAGCAAAGACACGGGCTGCGCACTTAAAATTGGAATGAAGTTGGAATAAAGATGTTGCCAATACTTTCTACAGGTTAAAATTAGCCATACCATGAGGTTAGAAAATGTCTTTAGATAACAATTGCATATCCAAGTCTTAATAAGACTTTTTCATACTTTCTGAGGTGTTGTTAGTGAGTAAAAGTAAATCTGTGAGGTACAGGTGGTCTGAGGTGTAGTAGATAGAGGTGACCACCAGATGTTTAATGGATACTGCCTGCCTCTCCTTTTGTCCTGGGTTAACCTGCACTTGGAATTGTGAATCTTGCTTTCCTCTCTTATCTTGACACACCGTTAGTTGAGATGTCAAGCTTGTTCCGGAAGGTACATAAAACTGAAATAGTATGTTTTAAAGGCAGCAATGGGTCCTCTTCAGTTTCTCTGAGCCAAGAACAAGTTATTCCTGGCAACGATCGTACACAAATTTCTGGAGAAGATGAGCTCTTGAATTCTGGAAATTCCACCCTGTCCTTGAAGTTGGGCATGAAGGTGTGTACAGTAGTCACGTAGGCCAAGAGTTTTCAGAAGCGGCTAAATTTATGCTTCTCAGTCCACATTTAGAAACCTAAATAATTGGCCTAATTTTAAACTAACACGATAGAATTGAAGTTGTCCTGTCTGTGTCCTTAATAGCTACAACTCGGAATTTCTCTTTAGACTGGGCAGGACTTGACGTCATTGAGGCTGCTGCCCTTCAGCTGGGTATGGCTGTTGTAACCCAGCTGGCACGTCAGCCCTGAATCCTCGCCTTGTCGAAGAGATGCTGTCAGCTAATTTGTAAAGCTTCGGGTCTGTTACTTGGGACTTCTACCTAGCGTCACATCCCAAAGCGTGAATGGCTTTGTCCTCTTTTGCTGAAATGTTTTATTTTTGTTGTGTGCTCCTGCCCAGAGCTTGGGCTTTTCCACTGCTTCTTGGCTGTCTGTTCCTGATTTTTCCCATTAGTCTGTAGTTCTGCAGTAGAGGGTTTGCCATCGGTGGCAGAAATAATCTATACAAATTCTTCACAGAATCGTGCTGATGTGACACACAGAGCAGTGGACTGTAGAGCAGAGGGTGAAGAAACACATTTTTCTAGTACAGAAGAAAGAATGTTTGCTTGTAGGTGCTTTAATATTTTAAAAACATACACTGGAACTTGTTTTTGTTGAGCGATGTCCCTCTTAAATATTTCATTGTTAATCATTTTAAGCAGTTGGTGCCTTCTATAAGGCTAGCAAACCCATACATGTAGGTACTGTGGGAGAACCTGAACCTCACTGTGCCCGGCTGCCAGGCTGGACTGTGGAGGAGCTGATTGTTCGAGGCAGAGGAGAAGCTGTGCTCCGGGTGGCGAAGGCTGGCTTTGTCAGATGAGCTAGCTTTCTTCAAGACCGTTTCTTTCGGAGCACACAGGAAACAATCCATTTAGGAAGCAGGAGAGGGGTCCCTGCGAGAGCTGTGGGTGTGTACGGAATTGGCTTTGAGGAGGCGATAGCAGGTGAACAGAATCTGTGGGCTGGCCCTTCTAGTGTTGGATGTTTGGGGTTTTTTTTTAATTAATTACCTTAACAAAAGTGACACAAGCGTGGTCAGCATAGAGGCCAGAGTATTATCCAGTCCTGTTGGTATAATTCAAAGACCAGAACAATAAAACCAAGATAAAATGCAGAAGTGTAAGGTGTAAAATTAGGGACTAAGGACAAGAACTTATTCTTAAGGCTAGAAACTCACTGTTCAGAAGTAAAAGGACACAAGTTTGTATTCAGAAATAAAAGGACATACACACAAGCACATAGGGCAATCACAGAATGACAAGCAATCACTAGTAACGTGGGGCTGGTCAAGAATGCATAAAAAGACTGATACTCTACCTGATGTGTGATAACAGGTATCTGTTTGTGAGGTAATGTCAGTGCTTGTGTTAGTGTTGTAGAAGGCACTGATGAAGATGCGTAGCCTGTGTTACCTGCGCTTAATAAAGCTCAGTTCAGACTGAAACAGGTGTAGTGGGAAATTTCATTGATGGGGAAAGAGAGCTCTCACTTTGAGACAGAACAGAGCTTTAGTTGTTTAGTAAAATAAAACCAACACCGGTTTTCAGCGGCTGAAGTGCGTTTAAAGAGGGATGGTATTGGGGAATTTTTTTATAGCTGAAGGGAAAAATCCAAAACGTTTGGAATGGAAATGAAAGAATTTGATCAAAAAATTTAGGATGGAGATCAAACTGTCAGAGCAATGAGGCTTTGGGACAGCTTCCTGGTGGGCGTGGAGGTTACCACAAGATGACCTGTGACAGCAGTGGCTGGACTTGCTGATTCTGGAGGTTGTGTCTTGTCTTCCTCTGCTTTCTACAGGTGAATTACAAGTCCAACATACCTGTTCTCACTCCAAAAATGTAGGAATAATCTTACCAAATAATCATTGTGTTGTTGCTCACTACTTAATACTAATTTTCCTATTTAATTCAGTGGCATTTGAATTCTTTTATTTTTTTTTTTTCATTCTGCAGTTCTCTCTAATAGAATATTTATGGCTCTGCTCTCAGGAATTAAATTTTGTATACAATTTCCAAATTTCACTGTATTCCATGGAGACTTTGTTCCTGAGTAAGTAACCAAGGGAACCAGAGTGAACCAGTAAAATCTAGTTCAGTGTGGAACTGCATTATAACGAGAAAACATATGTAGTGCCAAGGTGAAGTTGGGCGAATGCTTTAATGTAAATGGAATGCTTTGTTCAGTTGAAGCAGCCACATTTCTCATCAGAAATCTTCCATAAAGTACTCCTAGAACACAATGCAGTTTTCTGTGTTCAGGAGGAGTCTGTAATCACCGGGTTTGAACCACCAGCTTTTTTAAACTGTATTTCTTACAACTGGAAGTTTGGTGAGAATTATTTTAATGCTTCTAAGAGTGGAAGAAATTGTAAATGCCTCGCATCAACCTGCATATTTTAAAGTTTGGATGCCGTAACCATCATATTTCCTCCAGATGTAGCAAGGTTGGATCAGAGCTATTGGTCAGTTCTTTATCCAGTATTCCTCTTCCACATGGGAAGAAACTGTTCTGCGTGAGCTAAAATAATTAACCTAAAGATTCTGGCCTTAAATTTGTCACAATGCCTCCTTGTATTTTCAAAGTTAAGTCACCAAAACAAATTCCAGTGTTAGCGTGGTCTCACTTCCCGTGGTGCATATGCTGTGCTTTGAGAAAGGCATATGACTCATTTCCATGAGCAGCAACAACTTTGGGTTCAAGCAGCATCTTGGTAAGAGGAGGATTTTTCTTTATTCTGATTTCTTTCTGTGGAAAAGTGTGTGACAACAGCCGTACTAATTGAAAACAACAGCCCAGATGGTTTCCTATCCTGTCATGGTAGCGACCAATAACTTATGTGTAAGCCTCAAGTACTCCGTCCTCTTGTACGCACTCTAAGCTTTTGGCCATCAGAAGCAAATGGATTTTGTGAGCCAAAGATTCTGTCTGAGTGGTCATATTTAACAACTAACACCAGACCTAACCTCCACAAATGTTCTGATTTTTCTTTGTGAACTTGCGGCTGAATTCCACAGCTCAGAGTGACAGTGCTTTCCACAAATTATGCAAGTGCTGGAAAAGGCAGTCTCCTTGGTTTCGGATACAGGGCTCCTTGCTTCTTGTGTTTCAAGAAATAGCCAATACACTAGTTTTGTGGCGTTCGTTGAGAGGATAAAGGGAACGGACATGCCTGGTTTTTTCCCCAAGTTTCTGAAGAGATGTACCCCATTGTGTTCCCCCTCTTGCATCGAGCCATCCGTACTGGTTATCATCCTTGGGCCCTTTTCGGCAAGAGAACCAGAACTAGTACAGCATTCAAGATGTGAAAACATAGTACTTTTATAGTTTCGTCCTTATAATGTCTTTGCTTTGTCATTGTTGATGAGCGTTCCTCTGACTCTACCTCTTTCATGATGGCTCTAGATCTTTGCTGAGTGGCAGTGAGGAGCCTGGAGCTCCTGGGTGGGTTGGCGTGGTTGAGGTGGTCTTTCTCTAGCATGCACTGGCCCTCAAGAGCCCTGTTGTGTTTGGTTTGGGTTTGGTTTTTTCCACAGGATGGTTTCTCAAGCAATAGTTGAGTATCATGAGATTCATTTGCAGCGTTTGAGTCCGATTTGAGTTTCGTGCGTAGCTGTTGTCATAAGTGACTTTTCTCATTTGTTTGTTGGCTCCTGTTTTCCAGACTGCACATAAACAAAACAGAGCCCTTGCAGACCCCTGCTCCTTCCTGACTCTTAATTATTTACATTCCCTCATGGACTAGTGTTTCTCTTCCCCATCACACCTTAATTTCCATAAGACCGTTTGATAATTTTGTCCAAAGCTTTTTGAAAAATGCCAGTCTACTGTACTGGTAGACTTGTTTACATCTTGGTTGTTTCCAAAAGTTTTGGTAGATTGTGTGATATTGCTTGCCCCTCAAAAACCATGCAAATTCTTTCTCTCAAGTACTATTTTCAGGTATGATCTCAATCAAAGATGTAGAAATCTGTACTACAGATAGTTAGCCTAGGCTGCTCTCCAGTCCGGAAAAGGAACAACGAAGAGATGTGGTGGTTGTCTTGAACAGCGAACAGAAAGTCTGTAGGAGAGCAGTGTTTGCTGTGCGTTTGGGGAGAAGAATTGAAGTTTGCAAAATGAAATTAACAGCAAGCGGGTTTGTGGCCAAACAGTGGAGAGGGTGCTTCAGCTGTATGTAGGTGACCTATGAAATAGCTGGTGTAAGATTCTGTGAATGCGTGAAGTTTACTTGGGTTCTTGGAGCAGTTGGAGGTAGGGGGCTGTTTAAATGGATGGCAGCGATGGCTCAGGAAGCGCTTGAGATGGCAGCTGTTGGAAACTGGGAGAGTACTGCTGAGTGAGGCACCTCATACTGGTTACTGGAGGTAGTTTCTATTTTCCAAAAGGTTCCTTATTCTGGGTTTGTCAGTTTGATCTGCCTGATACAATTCCACAGAAATGGGAAAGATAAGGAGAGTTCTTGAAGCCACGCGGGAGCAGCACTGCTCTCTTCATTAAACAGTGCTCTCATTTGACAAGAGAAATGGTCTAAAGCAACATGAATACAGTGTTTTTGGACCACCGGGTAAGTCGTACACGTCTTGTATGCAGGGCTTGAAGAGGATTGTTTCAAGAAAAGTTCACCTTGCAATAAAAAAAATTAAAACAAAACATACAAAAAAACCACGAAAGCCCAAAACTCCAGCATCCTATTAGGAATATTTTGAGTATGAAAACAGTCCGTTTTGTAACTGCCCATCCACTGTACAGGTAGCGAACAGCAGTTCTGGGGTAGAGTGCCAGTCTCAATTCCCTGGCATAGGAAGAACTGCCATGCCCCACATACCGTCACATTTCCAAAGGAGATACACTGTTGAGTACTGAAGTGCGGATGAGATGACTCTGTTCTAGTCTGGCTATTCCTCAGTTTCTACCTGTCTGCCAGTTCTGCTCAGTAGTACAGTTCCTACAGCTCTGCTCTCTGCAGCATCCTGAGCAGGGACCGTGGAGAGGGAGGTGCTGAGCTCTGCTCCCTGGTACCCAGGGACAGGATGCGTGGGAATGGCTCAAAGCTGTGTCAGGAGAGGTTCTGACTTGACTTTGGGAAGCGTTTCGTTACTGAGATGGTGGTCAAACACGGGAACAGGCTTCCCAGAGAGGGGGTCGATGCCCCAAGCCTGTTGGTGTTGAAGAGGCGTTTGGACAATGCCTCTAATGACGTGCGTTAACTTGGTCGGCCCTGGCGTGGTCAGGCAGATGGCATTCCAGGTCCCTTCCAACTGAAATAGTCTGTTCTGTTCTGCCAGTTTCCCAGTCAGAACTTCACTGTATGTAGTCTCCACGTCACTCCTAAAATATGCTTTAAAATTAGCATAATCCGTTGATAACCTTCATTTCTCTGACAGCGGCGGTGGCGTAAGCGATAGATTGCCGACTGTTCAGTGTAGAAGACTGGTGTTTGATGTCTGTTACAATGCGTGGCTGATACCATCTGGGTTTTGCAGTTTGATACTTCTTTTCATCAGTTCTCATGAACTTTCTGACACTTCTTTGAGTTCCTTGGACTCGTTCTTCATGAAGAAAAGCTCTAGTGTGGGTTGTCCTCTCAGTTCTTCTCTGACCAAGAGAATTCATTTAATGATACTGTTCTGGTTGCGTTCTCTGTGCCAGTTAGCCTCGTTAATTCTCTAGGAGGCTTCTCTTCTCCCAGGTTAAGCCTTTGGGGATGCAGCAGGCAGTCTAAGCACGCACTGTCTGAGTTAAACTTACTGAACTAGTAATCATTAACAGTTAGTCCATTCGCAGGTCTTATTTTAAGGTCACTTGCAGAATGCTGACCTGGAGAGAGCAGAAGACGTCCGAGTGGTGGGGACTGTGATACACAACCTGGAAGGTACAGAACAGCATCTTGTTTCTCTCCTTCAAATTCCAGCACTTGTGCTGGAGCCAAGTTCTGCTGTGAGATCGTTTGTCTTGGAGCTCCCTGTGTGTGCTACAGAGGGGAGAGTCTGTTGACCTCAAGTAATTCTCCATCCTTCAGAACAGTGTAGAAAAATTAGTTTAGTGGATATTTTAGGACACTAATTAGTGGAAGAGGACTCTTTTTTTACATATTGAAGATAAGAGGGGAAAAAAGCGCTCTTCTCCAACAGCACAGTGCCAACTGTCTAACGAACGTTCTTCTAGTGGATTTTTGCAAGAGGTTTTCTTTCGTTGTTTAGCCTTCTTGATGCACGAGGTGAGGGGTCTGACAGGGCAGAGCACGTGAGGGGTCGTTGATGCTTCCACATACAGCCGTTATTTCTGATCTTTGGTGAATCTGCAGCTAGTTAGTTTTTAATGTAGAACTGGAAAATCTTTCTACTTTTTTCATCAAAAGTCTTCAAATATCTAGTTTAAGCAGCCTAAGCTGTGACATAGAATTTAGTTTGTTGCCAAGGGACAGGCTAAACCATTTCTGTGCCAGAAATTACCTCTGTGAGTTTGGTTTGATGGTATTGTGATCAGTATTTACAGACTTGCCGTGTTCAGTGTTATGCAGGCGTAGGTGGATAGGGGAAATGCTCTCTACAAAGGATTCTCAGTACAAAAGAAGCCCGAGAACAGATAGTTTTTCAAGCACCCTGATTCATAGCTGAAGGCACTATCTTACGCTGCTACTGGGCTTTTCTTCTGTGTTCAAAATAAAGGTGAAGGTAAAAAGCAAAGTAAAAATAACAGCAGGAAGGAAACTAAGAGTAAAGGGTGTAGTGAAACATCGGAGATTGTGTGTGGCAAACGATGACAATCGGACAAGATCCAGTTTACAGAAGAATAAAGTGGTGGTGCTGGAGCGCTTTGGAGCTTTCCCATGACCTAACAGGTACAGTGAGGATGCTGCTAAAATGTTTTTGGGACAGGTTGACTGTTGAGTATCCAAGAAGAGATCAGTGAAAAGCAGAGGCCAGGCTGAATAGATAAGTAGACTTGCTTGTAGAGTCAATTTGGTGAAAGGTTTGCCTATTGGAAGGGAAAAAAAAAAGGTGGGGAAAGCAGTTTTTGTTTGATCAAAGTAAGACAGGTTTGTGAAAATTATCAGAAATTGTGTCGCAGAGTAACTAGAACTTGGCAATTTCAGTGGAATGGAGAAAAACAAGTTTGCCAGTGCTCAGGGGCAGAAAGAGGAAACACTGAGAAGCAGACATGAATCTATGAATGAAACCTGTCTGTCAATGAAAAATGAGAGCTGAAATCTGAGAGGAGTACAGGAGGAGCCAGCAACGCTTAGGTGTAGCCTGGATGTACGCTCCTAGAGCAGAACTTCAGAGGAGGCAGTCCCCTGGCTGTACTGGGGTGACTGGAAGTCAATCCTTGCAGAACTCGTCAGGCGGACTGGGTATCTTCATGGGGAGCGTTTGTACTTGCTGGTTTTCCCTCACACGACCATAATCCCAGGTCTAGGAAGCAGCCACCATTTTAGCAGGTTGCCCTGGAGCTTTGCATCCTCTGCTTTTGCTGCTGCTGTTTGTTCTTCCAAAAGAATAAGAATCAGTATCAACCGTATCCGTCTTACTTGTTAGGATGGTACTATCCGCAAGCTTAGAGAAGGGCTTGGCAATAAAACTTGCGGGAGTCCCAGCTGGCACGTTCAAGAAGGGCCAGAGAGAGCTGAGCAGCCTGGTGTAATGGATTTGGAGCAAGAATGGAAAATGCTTGTTGAATACTTGAGAGAGAAGTGAAGGAGGAGTAACAGAGGACTCTGTTCTTGTATGAAGTTACCTTGGAGAGCATACGTGTAGTAACCAGCTGAGCTGGGGACACAGAAGAAGCCTTCAAATTGTAAGGCACGTCCCAGAAACATGAACATGTATATTTAACCCCCTCAGGCAACTTCAATTACAAGTGACCTTCCTTTCTTCTCCAGCCATGCTGAGAACGTCGCTACCCGTTCTCGCTGTTCCCTTGGCTTGCTCCGTGCAGTGAGCAAAGCAGTAAATGGGAATGGGATCTGCTCTGTGGGTGTTCTTCAGAGAACTGGGTCACTGCTGTTGCCTGGAAAGTTGGCCCAGCCAGAGAGACAAGCAGCAGTGCTATTATCAGTGAAGAATTACTGGAGATGCAGATTTTGAGAGACCTGAGTAGAAAAAGATCATTTGCTGTCGACAGCCGCAGATCCTGTGTAGTGAAGGGCAGCGTATTGATACCGCGGCGGTGTCCTGGCTTCGAGCACTGTAAACACCAAACCTGTTCTGGTGCTGCTAATCCTCGTGGGCTCTCCCACGTGTCAGCCTTGTTTTGCTGCGCTCCCTGTGCCCACGTGGGAATAGTGCTGTCTGATGAGTCCGCTCCCCAGGAGCGGTGTGGGGCGGGGGGAGCTGAGCTCTGCTCGTTGGAGGATTTGGTGGAGGAGGGTTGTACGGCCGCAGGTAGGCGTTCCTCTGCCAGCTCCTGCTGTAGTCTCTTGTGTGCTGCTTGTGTTGGTAGGGAAGTTTGGTTATTGGGTGAGTGTGGGGGAACGCTGGCTATTGGCCAACATGGTTATAATATTACAGGTGTGTGGAGCCGCTTGCAGGCCTTTGGCCATTACCAGTCCTAGAGGGGAAGGGTGGTAGAAGTTTCCGTTCCTCTCAGCAGCTGAGGTCTCCTGCTTTGAAGGTAGCGGGAGAAAGCAGAGCCCTGCAGCAGGCCCTTAAGCTAACAGTCACAGCCTCTCCTCTGGTTGTTGGCCCCTTCCTGGCCTCGTGTCATGCTCTCTGAGGAGCTGGTCTGTTCATTTTGTAAATTAGCTCTTTGTCAGCAGGAGAAGCAAAGCTGGAAATGCCTCATGTCCTGTTAGTTTAAGTCTTATTTTAAAAAATTATGGTTTATGTGTTGTCAGAAGGAATTTGCAGGGAGGAAAAGAAAATTATGGTATTTTCATATTTTCCCTAAAAGAATTCTGCTTACATTTGTGTAGGTTTCATCTGTAGCTCTAGTAGGGTGTTAGCTCTAATACAAATAAACTTTTTATTAAATATTTTTATTCTATGATTTTCCTTTCTTTATTTTCCAGGGCGGGGAAACCACCACCTGGCTTACATCTGGATGTAGTCAAAGGAGATAAACTCATTGAGGTATGAAAATAAGTTTTGTATGTATTTGGTGTATGGTATACATAGGCACCAGCAGTAGAACATTTCCCAGCATTTTTCATACTTACTCATAAGCATTTCCTTTCTCTCTCATGTTGATTATTTTTGGATCAATTTGGTTTACTCTGAAGCTTCAGAATGAAGTGAATTTTCCCTTGCCTGTACTCTAAGGCTGTCTCATGCTACGCAGTGCTTCCATCGGTTACCTTCCAGTTAGATGCCCTGTTTGAAGGGGTCTGAAACAGCAGTGCTCAGCTAGCAGACAATGACACTTGGAGTCCTGAACGTTAAACCTGTCTTAGAGAAAAAAAAAAAGTGTTTGTAAGGGAAACTCAGTACTTTGCAGAGCCTTAGTTCTTCCAAACTTAATTTTGGACCAAAGTTCACATTTTGTTTCCTACGAGACACCGACATAGGAGGTATCAGACTGTGGCCAGGAGGCATGTTGTCTTAGGAACTTCAGGAGCAGAAACTCGAATAACATGGGGAAAAAAATCTCAAATACAAACCAGTAAGAGTAAAAACTCTTCACTTTGTACTGCTTGTTTGAGATGCTTGTCTGGTCAGTTTATTTTTTGTTTTGTGTTACAGTAAGGTTAAGTAGGCAGCCTGTGTTTTACAGGGTTGTGGCCCTGTCCTACAGGATGACTTACAAGATGATTTCTCATCCCGTGTTCTGGATCTGTGAACACTTGTGATTAGCACAGAGACAATGAGTTATTTGTGTTACAGCAGAGGAATTTGCCTGATCCACACCACCTCATTCTCTGTTTCATACTTTGTCTTACATCACACTACAAGTAGTAAATTAAAAAAAAAGGCTTTTTAACGGGGTAGACAGAGAGGACCCAAGCCAGTGGATGTATTTTAGCTGTGGAGGGACTCCTGACTTGTAATCGACTGAAACAGAGAAATGTTTCTGGGCAGCAAAGGTTTGCAAAGTGGAGCCAACTTTTCTGAGCAGCAACTGGGAAAATTAAGAACTCGATGTTAGATCAAGAAAGATTTAGATGCTTAAAATCTTGGCTGGTTTTTAATGTGTGTTACCACAGGAGCATAAGACAGCATGAAGTGTTCCTTCTGGTGTCTAGCAGGAGTGGTTTACTCTTTAGGATTTGGTTGTCGGAACATGCTTTGCATAGGAAGGCAGATGGAGATGTCACAAATAGGTATCTCACAAATAAACTTGTGTTTTCCCAGGCCAGAAACCAGTAAAATGAGGCTTTTCTGTATAGTCCGTTAGTGTTGGTTTTACAGACTGTTTTGAGAGTGCTCTTACTCTGGGTTTAAAGACACAGAAAATTGGCAAAGCCAGTCTTGACCTAAGATATCTTCGCTCAGCCTTAATTTGAAAGGAGTTAGATACTAACACACGTTCACTGCACCTTCAGAGTAGCTCGTTAGTTCGTACAAGACCTGGCAGAGTTGGCTGGTGCCCGCTGCTCGGGCTGGGCTGGAGCGATCCTTCACTGGCTCTTCCTGGGCAGCTTTCCGACCCTTTGCCTTGTGTTTGTCTGCAGCCCTTGGGCCATGTCTTCTGCTTCTGATGGTGCTGTTACGTGTTCAGAATCATTTTCAGAGGTCAGAGAGCTGCAGGAAGACTGCTCAGCTCGGCCTTCTCACTGCCATCCTAGCCATAGTGTCTGGGGTAAGGACTGTACTTGGCACTGGGTTTTCCCCTGGTTGTTCCAGGCCATGGGATGAGATTCAGCGAGCAAAGCCAAATGGCAGTGACTTTGGGTTTTCTGGTACGCGGCCGGTGGCCAAACATAATGCAGCCTTCCCACCTGGGAGACTTCTTCTATGAGATTACTTTTGTCTTGTCATTTTTCTTTTGTGTTTTGGAGTGTGGAGAGAGCTTTAGGATGAGAGAGTTTATATGGAGCTCTCTGCTGACTTAATCCTCAGGTGCTAGGCAAATACCTAGCATGGGAGTCCTGGTCAGGACTGAAAAAAGCAGCAAAATGCCCTGTGGAAGCTGAGGATCCACCATTGGTTTTGGCAACAGATGAGCAGTTTCGGTGTTAATAAATTGACAGTCAGGAATATTGTCCTGGTGGTGTCAGACTCTGAGGCTGTGCTGCCCAAAGCTGTTGGACCCACAGGAAGCCCAAGCTGGCTTTGTAAGCCTGGGGTCTCTGCATGGGGAGGGGGGTGGTACGAACATCCCGGTTCCCTCTTCCTGCCGTCAACTCTCATGATAACCTAAGAGAGGTTCTTTTTGCTGTCGTGCAGAGCACGGCTAACAGCTAGCGCTAGTCCGCTGTCCCAGTACCCGGAGGGTGTGATCACACAGAGGATACAGAATGACTGTAGAGTTCGCATTTTACCTCCTGGGTATCTGGTGTTGGCTGTCGGCGTGGCTGAGGTCAGTGAGGTGCAGCTGGCGCTGCAGCAGGGAGAGCCAGAAGAGCTGGCTTGGTGGGGACGTTCTGACAGACTGCTCCGTTAGCTGCCTGCTGGTGTGGGTGCTCTGCGGCCTTGCGCACTGCGTACGGGTGACGGCTGGGGTGGTTACGTGGGACAATGTACTGTGAGAACGTATGGGAACGGAGCGACAAATTGACAGCGTTCGAGTGTGACCCATCCGTTTCCCTTTTGGGTACGTGTGGCAAACAGTTTTTCGGTTTTGCATCTTACAGTAGACAGCAGTAACCAAGAAGGAACATTCTTAAATCTTGTGGGTTCCTGAGCACTTGATACTAACCGAGCCATCTGTGTCCCAGGTCTCGAGCGGAGGTCTGAGGTACACCTTGTGATTGCTGGGTCCGAAAAGTGCAACATCAAAACAAGCCATGAAGCGTTTAAGCTCAGTGTATGAAGGATAACACTGGGTTATAACTCAGAGGCACAGAACGCTTTGGAAACATTTTCTTGAAGTAAAGGCAATAAAATTATTTTCTGTGTTGATGATTTGTTGCAATATTTCCAATTTATGGATTTGTTTGTGTCTTTGCAAAATCTCTTGAAATGCTGTCAAGTCAGGGTGATACCGTTTTGTGAGCAACAGGTACAAATGAAAACTTAAGGACACTTCTGCTTTCAGTTGTGGACAAGAATGAGAAATTGTACGACTGATTTTTATGGTGCTTGAAATCGTGAGAGAACTGCTTGTGGAGCTGAGCACTGAAATGTGGAATAATGAGTCAGCTGAAGACCCACTTGTTTGTATCAGAGTTGTGTTTGCACAGGATCTTTTTTCAAATACACAAGAATAAAAGGCAGAGTTAATGCTCATCTTTCTCACAAGGTGGAATCATAGAATTCACGAGTACAAAGGTATTGAGTTTGGGAAGACTCAGAGTGCTGGACTGAATGAGTAAGGCACTGCATAATATTGGACATAAATCCGTTGCTATGAAGTTGAATCCCCAGAAAACCTAACCAGCATTCCTCAAGAGATGTGTTGTAACAAACTCTGTGTTATTCACGGATCAACTGCTGGGTGAAACAACTGTTGTTTTAAGGGAAAATGTCAGTGGGACTGATGGAATGATAGCTGTTGATTCAGGCTTGCAGGGGAAAGCGTAACAGAAGTACTCTAGCATGACGAATGTACAGGGAGAAGGTTGATCTGTTTACAGGAGGAATAAAAAAAAAGTGAAATAATGTTCAACCAGAAAGGACGGAAGAAACTGTGCTGGTTTAAGCTCTTTATCAGTGGCCTGTACTTTCCGGTTAATTCTAACGGGATGGTCTTGTGCAAACCAGTATTGGTGAAGAGACAGAAAGCGATAATGAAGTAAGCAGGTGAGAGCAGAATCCAGTAGTCTGTTTCAGTATATTGATGTATTGGGGTTTTTATCTGAATTACACTGAGGCTTTGAGGTACACTCTTGCCCACCAGACACAAATAGATTCAGAGGAGGCACCTGCATGTTTTAAATGTTCCAGTTAGAGGAAAATCACTTGCGTTTTGCATTTGCATCTCATAGGTCACCAGATAATGTACTTGAAGGTGAATTGCTAATTAAGCTGTGATTTCTATCTTATCAAATGAGAGGCAGACTCACAAAGAAGAATTTTTTTGTAGTTAAAGCCTAAGTATTGGCACTCCTGTTGATTTTCTGCCAACTTACGTATCACTGAGGGTACCGATGAAGTTGTCGTTCTGTAGAGCTGTTTGTTGTCACAGAACTTCTTGAAATTTAATATCTTGTAGTGCTGGTTGAAATTGGGCGGTTGGCTGGGAAGTTACTTGGTTTAGTAGTGAATGTCGGGAGCTGATGGATACACACACAGCTTGACCGCCTAAATCTTGTTGCTTTAGCAAAGCAGGCCAAAAGATGCAAGTCAGTAGATTTCACAAGTGTTTACTCCTGTGAGATCGTGCTTAAAATGTGTACCTGGAGTTTGTTGGGAATAAGACATTAGCAGATTATTACCCAAGGGACCAATTAATTGTAAAGTCGTCGTGATGTGTACTAGTATGGAGCTGGGTTGTTCAATTCATTCTTCTAGTGACCTAAAAGAGAGAATAAACGTACAGGAATAAATCAAATACATATTACTGAATACCAGGTTATGAGAACTTGCAGCATGGGGGCTGAGAAATGTGCAGCAGAACAATGAGAAATCCAGCCTAGAAAATGTAGAACACCTCTGGGGGGGAAAGTGGGGGGAAAAATGTCAGTGGGGAAGGGGCATCTGAATAGAGCAGTTCTAAAAGCCTTGAAGTTCCTAATGGGTGGGCAGGTAAACAGATGTGACTTTGCAAGGTGATTTTTCCACCTGGTCTAGTGGGAGATGTCCCTGCTGATGGCAGGAGGGTTGGAACTAGATGATCTTTAAGGTCCCTTCCAACCCTTACCATTCTATGATGATTCTATGATTTGTGGAAAATGAGGTCAGTGTGATTTTTCTGCTTGCAGATAAAGCAGAGGAATATAAATACTATGTCTATTCCAAGCTGTCTCCTTATCGTCCGCATGACTTGGTGATGCCACACAAGTAACTGTCTGGCTGCTCATTGTGTCAGTCTTTCTGACAGCTCAAAAAAACCCCAGACCGCCTGCTTGTAACCAGTCCGATACGTCGGCTCTTTAGCTGAGCACGTGGTTTGGAGAGCTGGCAACACCGAGGAGCAAAGAACCGATGGACATGACTGCTGCTGCCAGGAAGGGAGGGCCTTCCTCCCCACACAGTCCTGGTGCTTCACTGGAGCCAGCTGGGATACGCATCCAGCTGCAGGCAAACTGGCTCAGTCCACTAGAACAGTAGGACACTAACACAGAAAAAAAGAGCTTTGCGAGCTGGAAGCTTTGCTCAGACGTGTGGCAGAGCGACTGAGGGCAGGGTTGTAGAGCTGGGAGTGGAAGGAAGGAGAGGGGAGAAGTTCTCATGCTCTAGCAGGCAAAATGTTAACTCAGGTCAGACCATCTCATGAAAGCACGTTCCTGAACTAAGATCTCAGGGGTTTTGTGATGGAAAATGTATCATGAGCCTTCCCTTGATCATGCTATTGAAACGTGTGGGCTTTGGTAAATGTTTCAAAAAGCAGGAGAAGCCATCTGTTAACAGATCTGTAACGCATTGCCAGCCTTTGACTTGTGCAGCTGGAGGTAAGAAAGCTGAGGGTAGATGAAGGTCTCGGAATACAGTGAGAAGGAACGCTGCGCTGCTGAGGTTCTGCAGCAGCTCGGCACAGTTGCTTTCAGCAGCGTTGTCTGATCATAGAAACATGCTGTGTACACTGTAGGACTGTGCCAACATGTTCCTTTGCTTTTCAGAGATAACCATCTCTGAATGGAATATGTAACTGATAGTACAGTATGTAAGATCTTGTTTGAAGAAGAGATTAGAACTAGGATGAATTAAGAAGAAATGCCTAAAATTAATGATTTACTAGACTAATATGGATTCATATCACAGTACATATCCAGTATAGTTTTACATCTCTATTACAAAGGTCTGAAGTCTGCTGTATGTCCATTTCTATACAGAAATATAATTTTGGTGTTCTGTATTGGACTGGAGGTCATCTAGCATAGATTCCTGGCTTAGACAAGGCCCAAGGTCATCTGCATCAAGGAATGGGTAAAAATCATTGGGAGCAGATGTGAGAGAGAATCTCTTGTATGAGGCAGTCTCATGCTTTGAAGAGTCACTGCCCTTCCCAGGCTGTCTGGTAATGGCTGTTAAAGAAGGGAAGAACTGGGACTCTTCCGTGTTCAGCTGTTCTGATTTTGCAAAGAGAAGGTTCGAGTTTCTGTGTTTAACGGTGTCAGACAAAACTGAAATATCGATTAGCTGTTGATGCTTTGTTTTGAATTTGCTCTGTTTATTCATGTTCTTGAATTTTTTTCAGGAAGATCCAAAAGATTGTAGGAGTCTAACGTGCTTCTCTGTTTGATATTCTACCTCAGAAACTCATCATTGATGAGAAGAAATACTATCTCTTTGGGAGAAATCCTGATCTGTGCGATTTTACCATTGACCACCAGTCTTGCTCTCGGGTCCATGCTGCCTTGGTCTATCACAAACATCTCAAGAGGGTTTTCCTCATAGATCTGAACAGCAGTAAGTAGTGTGACATTTAACCACGTAGAAGTACAGTATTTCAGTGCTTAAAGATTTGTGTATCCGAGACACTTTTTCCCTTTTTTTGTTGTTGTTTGCACTGTGTGGATAGATGACTGTGTTCTGAATTAGCATCCGAGTGAAGGATTGGCAAGGGTTAGGAGCAAAGGAGTGTTTGCTCTGGTCAGCTTACATCTGCTTCACGTGGTGTTTAAAACAACATTCCTAGACTCAAGAGGCTAAGGGTGAGGAGAAAGAAAGTGACTTGGCCTTTGCTTCACAATAGTAATGAAGCTTTCTCTGCTGAGGGTGGTTTCCCAAGATCTAAAACCTGACATACTATCTTTTCCCCTGAGGGAATGATTCCAGACATGGTACATTGGGACCTACAAGAATCCAGAAAGTAAATGGTGTTTCTCATTTATTTCCATGACTTTTTGAGGACTTCTGATGTGTGTTATCTTACTTCGTGAGATGGTAGGTAAAATGTACATAGGTAATGTTGTCAGCAGTACCTCAGTGACTTGTATCTTGATGCAGCCATGTACAGTTTGTGAACTTCTCTAGACTTGAACGCGAATACTGTGAGCCCAAGCTGATGACTTAACAGACAATTTTGCGTTTTGGTGTTCTCAGCACATGGCACGTTCTTGGGTCATATCCGTTTGGAAGCTCACAAACCCCAACAGATACCCATTGACTCCACGGTTTCATTTGGGGCTTCTACACGGGCGTATACTCTGCGAGAGAAGCCTCAGACACTGCCATCAGCAGTTAAAGGAGATGAGAAAATGGGCGGTGAAGATGAAGAGCTCAAAGGCTTGCTGGGCCTGCCAGAGGAGGAGACAGAGCTTGACGTGAGTACGATGTACCTAGATGGCATTTCCGGCTAAAAGGATGGCATTCTCCACTCGTTTGCTTATGTTCAGGTTCTGAATTTCTTGGTCTTGAAGGTAGTCTGAGGTGTCTTCTGCTGGCAGATACGCACACACCGTCTCGTTCTGCCATGATAAGCCTGCAATCATCCTGCTTCCCAGAATCAGTCACCTAATAGTCCTGCTGCTCTAATGGTCTTCTCACAAAGGCTTGCCAGGGAGTACGCGCTCTCCAGCTAACATCACCCCAGGCCAGGAGTGATTTCCTACCCTGTTCCCCGTCACCAGATAACAGTGAATGCTGCCCTGCTTCCTGCAGTTAGCTAGGGAAGAGGGAGAAAGCAGTGTGTGTGGCGTTCGCAGGATTGTTGAGGGTGGAAGGGACCTCTTGGGATTATCTGGGCTGGCCCCCATGCTCAAGCGGGTTGCCCAGTCAAATTCTGAAGATCTCTGCAGACAGGAGACTCCACAACCTCTCTGGGCAACCTGTTGCAGCACTGGAGCACTCTTTCTTCCTAGGGTTCTAAAGGTGAAGCTAAACAGTGTGTGCTGTGGTCTTCTGGTGTGCATAATCACATGATTAAATCGGACTTGGTACACTAGTTGCTTAAACTATTTTGTCTCCAAATTTGTCATTAGAACCTAACAGAGTTTAATACAGCCCACAACAAAAGAATTTCCACGCTAACCATTGAGGAGGGGAACTTGGACATTCAGAGACCAAAGAGAAAACGGAAGAACTCCAGAGTGACATTCAGTGATGATGATGAAATCATCAATCCGGGTAAGTAGTTGGTGTCAGTCTTTAGGTGATGCCCTACAGCCGCCTTTCGAATGTTCTTATAGGGATTCCTCATGGCTGCATGTGGATAAGGAGAACAGAAATTTGGCAGTCAATATTTGGAATCTGCTGTTTCAGAGAAGCTGCCACGTGTCTCACTTGAGTCTTTGACCTCAGGTCTTCTACCTGTAAAATAACTGCATGACTTGTGCAGGACAGGCATATCACACTCAGCTGCATCCTTCAAAATTCTGTCAGATGTTGGAAAAATCTCATGGGTCCAAAAGGAGGACAGTGTTTTGCATTTTTTGCCTTCTTTAGAATCTAAATGAGAGCTGAACCTGTTTGTTTTTAGCTGCCCCTTCATGCTTTCCTTGCCTGTTGCCTAATGGTTGTCTCTCTCAAGCGCAGAGGTTTCTTGCTGCTTGTCTGCGTATCTGAAAGAAGCCATCCTCATTCAGAATGATGCTGCTGAAGATGCATCCAATTCCTAATTAGTCATTTTTCTCCCTTGGCTGTTTTATATTAATGGCATTCCTATTGTTTATGTTTTATATGGGCAATACTCCTATTAATAAGAGTAGCTTATTAATGAGCATGCATTTTAAAATATAGTCTGGAGCTAGTTTCAGTTGGCAGTGTATACCACCCAGAATAACTACTTGATTTATAAGGTTATGCAGTTTAGTGCTTGGAACATCCTAACGTAAACAGCAGTCATTCGCATGACAAGAAAGATCATTTTTTCAGACTCTTAGAGACTCTACAGTGATTTCTTCTGACTCCTCCTTCCAGGTCCCCGAAGGACTGCTGGGGTTAGCTGTTGTGTCTCTGGGCATGTGCAGTGCCGTGTCAGCAGCAGCGCTCGGCCCAGAGCTCCAGTTTGTCCGATCCCTGCAAACTGCCCATCCATCTGTTCCCCTTCCCTGTTCTCTGTCTGGGTGGAAGCCTGTCTTACCAGAGTATCTGAGGAGCCACCTTGAGACGAAGCCACTAGATGTCCCTCAGCTCCTCTCTTTGTCTGGGCGTGCTTGTGCTGGCTGAGAGCTGCCCGAGCGCTGGCTTTGGTACTTGGACAGTCTCATCTCAGTTCTTCGTCTAGGTTCCTTTACCTGACAGATGTTCTGTCTTCTCCTGTGTTCTCACTGAAGGCTTCACTGTTCTTGCCTTTACAGAGGACGTGGACCCTTCTGTCGGGCGTTTCAGGAACATGGTACAGACAGCAGTAGTCCCTGTTAAGGTACGGAGTAACTCCCAGCTTTCTAATTAAGGCATTATGTTGATGAAATCACTTTATGAATTACACTTTAGAAACATAATGTTCTATGGTGGAAAGTGTTTTATTGCTAAGCAAAAGTCATGTTCGTGTTTCACAATTATCTTTTTTTTAGCAGGTTTGACCATTTCCTTTGAAATCGAGCTTTAGCTCTTTTCTTTAATAACACATGGGATCAATGGAAATTTTTTTTCCTCCCAGAAAGAAACACTTTCCAGAAATTCAGTGTGGTAGTTTTAGGCATCGGTTAAAACTGTGGGGAGTGTGGAAGATAAAAGGTAAAAATGAGAGGTTGTTTGTTTAAAGACTGTAAGTGCTAAAGATTTCATGAGGCTGTCTGCTAGAACTAGCAGGGTTTAGACTTTGCCCCAAGATGAGTGTGTTGCCAGTGCTATATTTAATTTGAATGTGCTAGGAGTAGGGAAGACTTGCAGAACTTCAGGGTAGCTAAGCAACAGTGTAACAGCAATTTCACTTGTTGCTGAGGTACACTAAATAATGTCTGTGGGAGAAGATAATTCTGCATAAATCCCAGACTGCAGGAGGAGATTCAAATGATCAGGAGCTAGACAAAATCACCCGAGTGATCTAGAATTTGCAGTTTCTTACTGTGGAGCGAAGGAGGGTCTGTGTTACTGAGACCTACTCAGTCTTGTGTTCGGGACAAGCTCAAGACTGGCAGGCGTGTACAGGTGCTCAGACCTGACCCAAGTTAAACCTGAGCTTCAGCTTCTGTCACCCCTTCCTGCATTGTGCTCCTTGAAGAGTTTATTATTAAGTGGTTTTCAAGGAAACCCAGAAGAAATCTTCTGGGACAAAGACTGGGACATAATCTGTAACCACTTCATATGTGGCTGGTCTAGGTGTCTTTTTGGGGAAAATGGTGTTGGCATCCCGTTTAAATAGCTTGCTTGTTTCATGTATTTTCAATAATTCTTTAAATACTTCCCTTTGCAGAAAAAACGGTTGGAGAATCCAGGCTCGTTGACCACAGATGATTCTGCATCACGGCGGAT